AGAAAGACCTGAAACGCTTTTTGTACTTGAGCCACACACAAGTTGAGTATCAACAGTTGCATGCCTCTCGTGCAGCAGCTCATGCACCCTGTACGACCATTCTAGTGAGGTGCCATGGGGTAAGTTCGTCACTTGAGCTCTCGCGCAATATCATCGGCCGATCTTCCTCCATCATTGACCTGCCATAAGGACAAGGAGCTTGCATGTCAACTACCGGTAGCGACAAAAAGGCTGTACCTGGACGAGCTCGTCCCCTTCCACCGCAGCCAGATGCGGGTTATCGTTATCATGCTGACTGCAATTCCAAATGTCGAAAGGACTGCCAGGGGCCGCCTTACTTGAGCAGCCTACAACTGTAAAAACTCAGCACGTTGGGACTCGGATCCGCGCCACTACTTTGTGCAGGACGCGTCGCCCGGTCTGCTTCAGGACCTGGACATCAATCAATACCGAAAAAACATAACTCTGTTGCCTGACCTCTGGATCCCAAAAGAAACCCCACTTCTCGTCTTCGTGGGAACGAGACCTGACTCATTGCCACACATCGCCACAACAAAAACATGCGCGCAAAGCTTCCCCGACCTCAGCTCCCGGCAGGTGCACGCGGAAAGTGATGGACTGGGCTTCACTTTTAAATCTCTTCGCAGGAGGATCCAGGCCAGCGCCGCCGACGTCTTTGGTCAGCTCTCGGTATTTGCCAACAAATGCCTTCGCCTTCAAAGCTGCACGTTGTGTAAAGCTGGAGTTACGACTGTTGCGAGACCATCTCCTCCATCTGCTTTGCAGAGTTTATTCTCCAGCCTTCATTCGGCAGGTCTCGGCCGTGTCGCCGGCTTGGTAAAGGGCAGTACCGACACCGAAACCGCTGGCACCAGCCTGACGAAGACATGGCCCAAGACCACTAGCATCAAACTTTGCTAGCTTTGCTGTGTTGCCTGCAGGTATGTCCCCATGTTCTGCGTGGACACACCACCTCATTTCAAACAAACGTTTTGTGCTGCGGCATGTAGACCTTCAGCAACTCGTAAACGGGCTCCGAGCTCTGTTAAGTCTCTCTCCAAGCCACCAACAGGCATGAGACACGTCGACTTGGGCAGCACAGCTCGCCAAGCTTTAATGATGTTGGGTGGTAGCTGCTCACCCGGAAATGCCTCCGCGTGAAATCAAACTAGGGTGCAAGTCCGCAATCTGCCAAGGCCCAGTCGGCGTGCCTTGAGTGCATCTGCACCAGCTCTTAACGCTGCAAAGGCTTCTGTGGGTGTACAGACTCCGGGAAAGCTGATAAGACCAAGCTCCTGCCATTGACAACACACTCTCCTTATCCCTCTTATGCACAGAACCTGATTCACAGGTCCTCTGCATTAACTCTAAACGACTCTCGACTTTTCCATCTCCTTGGTCCTTCGAATCACAAGCTCATCCATGTTCGGACTGACGATAAGCATGCCACCCGCTGCATGCACTTGGTCTACCTGCACACCAAGTTCCAAACCATCTGAAAACACTTTGAGATTCTTGAGCAGCCTGCCTCACTGGCACTCAGAACAGTACCAGCGCCAATGATGGCATTCGGCAGATGATGCACCAGAAGTGCAATGCTTTGCATAGCCTCAATAGAATTACTTGCTCTGAGACAACATTCTTCTCATGCCAAAAATGCTTTGGCAATCTGCAGACTCCAAGCATCAAACCTGCGGTGAGTTCAGGGGAACCTCCAGGATTGTCCTGGCTTTCATGAGGAGGGCTCAAGGCAGTCAACAAACCTCAAGCGCAAGCTAAAAGCTCAAGAACAACTTTCGAGTTTTGTATGTGGCCACGACCGCTCTACTGATCACAGTTTATGCCAAAGTCTGTGCTTACACAACAATTAAGGCCATGAGACCGCAGCACAGGACCATGATCTCAAAGGTTGTTCGCTTAAGGCCAAGCTTCAGTCCATTCTCTGCCAAGGCTTTGCCAACCTGCACCACCTCTGATGGCTGCACGCCGCGCAAGATGGCAACGAGTGGGCAACGCAAAGATGCAGTCCATCGTGCCTGAACAAAGCAGGACCGCATCAAGCACTCTTCATTCATCTAAGCGACACAAGCTCATCGCGACAGGCCCAGCCTGCAAGTCCCTGTTCCGCACGTTGGCTGACATAATGGGACATACACGCCAGGAAGGTTATGCTGGGAAGTGCGCCCTTGGGGTTTCCAAACAGCATATGCTCTTTCTGAACCAGCCGGATGGCCGTCAAAGTCTCCATGACTTCAGCATCTACTCTCATGAATGAACACGCCAGCATTCTGTGTTCTAGTTAAATGCATGCGTTCCCTTAAGCTGGCTCTGAATGGCTCTTGATTCGTGGACTTGACATGTCCGTCTCCATGCTTGAGCAATTGCTGAGGATGATCAGCAGTTGTCATGGCAACTGATAGATAGATGCATCCGGAGATGGTTAGATGCTTAGGTCTTGCCAGCAGCTGACGACCCGAGACCGGTCATTCGCCTGGACGAC